TTATTATTATTATTTCGATCGTTAATTAAAACGTAGGCGGGGGTGGGGGGTGGGGGGTAAAAATAACTTTTTTTTTGCGAGGGACGAAAATAAAGGAAACAGGTGTAGGAAGAAAAAGAATTTGATGAGTTTTCGTAATACGAGACGGAAGTTGATAAACATTTTTTTCTCTTATTATTAAAAATAGTAAATAATCGTCTGGTTCATTAAATTAAAAACTTTTCGTGGGAGGGAGAGGGGGAGGGAAAGAAATTTAAATTTCGAATTTTTTTCTAAAACTTTTCGAAAGCGTTGAATTTTTTTTTTTTTTTTTTTCCCTAACTCCCCTACAAAATAACGATTGCGGATTTGGGTTTAGTTTTCAGATTATTATTATTAAATAAAAACACGTGAACCCGAAAAAGTTTTGACGTGGAAATAATAATTAATGACACGATTTTTTTTTTTTTTTTATACGTGACAAAAATTTAAGGGATTAATGCAATGATGATGATGATGATGACAAGGGCGTACGGTTAAATTGTTTGCTCGTGCCACGACGTGATTCGCGTTTTTACCTGTCATCAAACTTATTTATTTATTTATTTGAATCATTCATATTATTATTATTATTATTATTATTATTATTATTATTATTATTATTATTATTATTATTGACAATCATTACGTTTTTATAATATTTTTTTTTTTTAATTACTCGAGGGGAATTTGTCGGAAAAACAAAAATAAATAATTTAAAAACGAAGTAAGAAATGTTTATTAATAAAATTTATTACAAGTTAGCGGTGTAATTAATTTTTATTTATTTATTTATTTATTAATAGATTGAAAAAACAGAAAATTTTTTTTCTCACTCTCTCTCTTTCTTTTTTACTCTCTCTCTCTCTCTCTCTTTGTTTTAACGCCGCAAATACATACAGCATTGTTAAATTCACGGGTAATTTTAAGTCGGCCATGTTTGTTTGTAATCTAATTAAAAATTTTTGGCTCGATTTATTTTAGCCAATTAAATTTATTTAAGGGTTTCTTTTTTTATTTATTTTGTTTGTTTGTTTGTTTGTTGTTTGTCTTTTTACTTTCTTTTCATTCATTCATCGTTTCGTTTTTTTTTCTTTCTGTTCATCGTCAATTTTATTTATAATAATCGGTGAGACTCGATAAATTGACATTTTTTTAATGACTTCACCTTTTCTAGTTTCCAACGCGACAGGAGCATATTTTTTTGTTAATATAAGAAGTCTTATTATTATTATTATTATTATTATTATGGTCACTCTTAAACACGACAAGGTTCTTATTTGTCGGGATTTTTAAGCATTTATTCCAGGTTTCTACCTGACGATTCCTTAGGGATAAATGCTCGAATGTCGATGGTGCTATTTATATAGTATTTTTCGAAGAATGTGGGCCGTCCCACATAGTGCGATTTCCTGGATGGTTTTTCCTCCTTTTAGGTTCTTCAAAATTTTCTTTAAATTTCCTTTTATTGAATGTGGTGGCATGGCTCCCAGTGCTGCTCCCACGATGACCGTACTTCCCCCACATCCTCGTTCCTTCAGCTTTTTGTCTGCTTCTTTGGCTGTCTGGTGTCTTTTTCCGCCGGTACGGATACTTCAATTAGCTTTCGCCATTTTTCCGCATTATGCCTGAGAATGATATCCGGTTTGTTGGCTGGCATTATTATTATTATTATTATTATTATTATTTTGAAAGAAGGATCGGTATAGGAAATTATATCAGTAGGTATGGCTGTGTATTTCATGAGTAAAAATGATTTACTAGAATTTATTATCATTAACGTTTTTCACGTGCGAATCTCTCCATGTTCCATATGAGTTATTTCGAGTGTGACGATGGTGGCGGTGGTGGCGGTGTTGTTGGCGTGATTAAACAAGCAGAAAGATTTTTAAAAAATAATAATAATAATAATAATAATAGTAATTAAAATAAATGACTTAATTGTCTTTTGTTTAAATAAAATATGCGACACGGGGTAGGTAGGCATCACGGGTGTTTGAATTTTTTTTTTTTTTTTAACGAATCAGAACGTTTTAAATATAAATATGTTTTTTTCATTGGTTGATTATCGAGTCGTTTAAATAATTTTTTTTTTTTTATGCGAACGTGTGACGTCATTCATAAACAAACGCACGCGCACACGCGTACACGCAAAAAAAAAAAAAACCAAATTTTATTCTCCTTAATCGTTATTATTATCATTATTATTATTAATATTAATTAATAATTTTTTAATTAAAAAAAAAAAAAAAATTTAATATTCGAAAAATAAAAATTATTAAAAATGGAAAACAGGAAAAAAATCTAATTTAATTTAAATTTTTTTACGGTTATTTTAATTTTATTGAAAGGTAAAAAAATCTTTTTTAATTAAATTTTATTAGTTATAAGTTATTAATACGAAATCCATTATTATTATTATTATTATTATTATTATTTTCTTTAGTCTTTAAGTGCTTTTTTTTTTTTGTTTGATAAGGTTCGGCCATTTTCTTTTCTTTTTTTTTTTTTTGTCGTTCCAAGAGAAACGTTAATTATAAAAAAAAAAAAAATTTTATGCTCTAATCTAAAAATCATTTGAACAACAACAATCCTTGAATGATTTACGAGAATTTTTTTTTTTTTTTACAACGTTCGTATATATATATATATATTTTTGCTGATTTTTTCTTTTCTTTTTTATTCTCCCCCTTTTTCTCTCTCTCTCTCTCTCTCTCTCTTGCACACATTCTGATATTCACATGTTGGTGTGCGTGTGTGCGTGTGAGTGAGTATTGCAAAATAATTATTTATTGGCTATGAATAAAAAATGATTTACGATTTCAACTCCTTGGCAATCTTAATTTTATTTTCTTTCGTTTCGAGAGCTTCCACTTTGCTATAAAGTGACAGTTATAGACGTGATGGAACTTTTGCAACCGACGGTATTGAGGGGGGAATCGATATCTATTGACACGATTAAAATGAGATTTTTTATTTTTATTTTTATTCAATTAAAAATAAAAACGTGGAGGCAGAGAGAGAGAAAGAAACGGAGAAAGAGAGAGTGAGAGAGTGAGAGAGAGAGAGAGAGAAAGAGAGAAAGAGAGAGAGAAAGAGAGAGAGAGAGAGAGAGAGTATTTTCCAACGTGATTTAATTTTTTTTTTTTTTGAAATAATGTTAATAAAAAAATACGATGATAAAGATAACGTTTTGCCGTTTTTATTATTATTACTATTATTATTATTATTATTATTACTATTATTATTATTATTATTATTATTATTATTATTATTATTATTATTATTATTATTATTATTATTATTATTATTATTGCTTTTTGTGCATTAATAACTTCACATTAATAAAATTATGTCATCACCCATGCCAACTTAATTAAAACATTTGTCGGTTTAAAAAAAAAAAAAACGTTATAAAATAAACAGAAAAAAAAGAAAAGGGGGGCAATAGTCGGGGAGTAGGCGTAGTATGAAAGGGAGAGTAGTAAAAAAAAAAAAAAAGAAAAAAAAAGATGGCTTTAAATAATTTAAAAAGAAAGAACTTCTGCGGTAAAAATATTTTTATTCTGTATCTATTTCTCTCTCTCTCTCTCTCTCTCTCTCTCTCTCTCTCCCCCCTTTTCTATTTTTTTTTTTAATTTCATCCTTTTAAAATTATTCCAGATTTTTTAAATTATCATCATTATCATTATCATTATCAATAAGTTTTTTCAATTCGTTTTCTTTTTTCTAAGCATAAGGGAGAAAGATAAGCAGAGAGAGAGAAAGAAAGAAAGAAAGAGAGAAAAAAAATTATTTTTTCAGGCATTTTAAAGACGTGGTTTTAATTATCTTTTCCTTGTCGAGTCAAAACCCTAAGGAACCCTTTTATTGTCGGAAAAAAAAATAGGATCGGGACTCTTTTCGATTATCTTAAAAAAAAATTTTTTTTTTTTTTTTCATTGTCTAAAGTCACGTCTGGATTTTGAACGACATTTTTTTTTTTTTTTTTTTTATTTAAATAGTTTTTAAAAATTAGTTTTTGATTACCCGACAAATTATTATTATTATTGTTAAAAACCGTTTTCGGTTAAATTAAATTTAAATTTAAATTAAAAACAAAATGGCTTCCGTTTTTTCGACGTTTGAAATTTTTTTTTTTGAAAACTGTTTTAAAAAAAAAAAAAAAAATTTTTTTTGAATTTTGATGCCAAATTTTCATTCAAATTCGATACGTATTATCATCATCATCATCATCGTCGTGTCTTTTCGATTTGAGGGACCACCTTCTCTCTTGATCCCTCCCCTCTCTCTCCCACCCCCTTTAAATTTATTTAAAGCGGAAAAATTTTATTTTGTTTTGTTTTGTTTAACGGATTTAACACACAAATTGTTGTTTAAAATTTAAATTTTCTGACACGGTCGATATTTAAAATAAATTAACCGAAAATTATTTTATTAATAAACTAATTTGTTTCGAATGTTAAATTTAAATTTAAATTTAAATTTAAAAATTATTCGAACGAACGAATGGAAAAAAAAAGAAGACAAATTATAGGAAATTTTTTATTTATTTATTTTTTGTTTGTTTGTTTGTTGTTGTTGTTGTTTATTAAAACATGACAAAAATGACAGTTTTAAAATTTAAACAAAATTTTTTATACTGTTTGAAACAACAAATCATTAACTAAATAAGAAAAAGTTAATAATTAAACTTTAAAATTAAAATAAAATGGCGGCGTTTTTAAAAAAAAAAATCATAGAGTATATAAAATTTAATTTTATGACGTCATCATTATTTTGCTAGCGTTGTGTTGTTGTTGTTTATGTTTTCTCGTAAACGGTTGAGTTTTGATTGTTTTTTAATTTTTTACACGTTTAAATTTTTATTTATTTATTTTTGACGAACTTTTATTAATTAATTATTTACATAAAATTATATATAATAAGGAACGAAATAAATTTAGAAAAAAAAAAATAAAAAATTTTTTTTACGAGTGAAAATGGCGTATATAGAATTACATTACGGACCGTATTTGGAAAGTGGAATTATAAAACATCGTACGAATAGAATAATGAACTTGTATAAATACTATCAGAAACGTGGAAACGCCGTGGAACTTGTACCGACGATAAATTACGATTGTTTGGAAGTCGTGGCCGGATTACGAATCGTTTTCCAATGTAAATTAACTTTTTTGAGTCAATTGAATTACGAAGTTTTCGGTGCTCACCACGATCCGACATTTTTAAAAGCGATCAAAGTCGTCGATGAATTTTTATCGAGAGTCGGTCACATAGGGCCGAACATAAAAGTCCCCGGGATATATAAGGAAATGTTCGACATGTTTCAAAATTACGAATCGATCATCGTACACAATAATTATCCGTGGATACTGTCGGAAGTTGCCGTGGAAGGAGATGATTATAACAGTAGCGGTTCGTCCTTGCCCGACACGTCCGTCGAACAATTATCCTATAAAAAAGGGATTAAATTTACGAATTATTAACGTAAAAAATTTGACTAAATCATCATCATCATCGGAAATCAAATCAAAAAAAATCGGATATGACGTCATTAAACTCTTTTCGAAATTTTTCTTACAAGATTTTAAACAAGGAAACGGAAAGGATCAGGTATTCATCGGAAATTTTCTCTCCCCACGAAAACAATCGTAAAAAGGATTAAAGATAATCTCATAGAGAGATTAAAGGAGGGGGGGGAGTGGATTAAAATAAATCCGGATAAATCGTTTAATGGATTAAGTTATAAAAATTCATTTTTTTTAATTTTTTTATAATGAATGGAAATAGAGAGAAAAGAAAAAATCATTTCTCGTTTAAAGACGCTCATTCTTTTTCGGGTAAAATTAAGACTTTGAAAGTTCTCCTCCCTCGTACGCCATTTTAACTCCGCCATTTTATTTATGCATATTAAAAAAAAAAAAAAAGAAAAGAAAAAGAAATTAATACTAAAAGTATTAACGCCTTTAAAAAGTGTCGAGTTAAAAGAATTCCGAAAGTCAATAAAAAAAAATTTTTTTTATAAGGAGGAGGGCGCACAGACAAGGGCAAGTTCGCACATGTGAGTTGATTTATTTTTTTAAATGTGGCGCGCAAAAAAAAAAAAGGGCCCCGAAATAAATGAGTTTTTTTTTGTATTCTCTCTCTCTCTCGCACTCTCTCTCTCTCTCTCTCTCTCACTCACTCTCTCTCTCTTTCGCACACTCGCTATCCGTTTCGTAAAAAGGAATCCAAAAATTGAAAGCGAATTTTGGATATACTTTCCGGTATGGAAAAAATTCTGGAATTTCCGGTATACGAAGTGTGTGCGTGCGTGTGTGCGTGCGTGTGCGTCGGTCGAGAGGTTTTAAACCCAATAATAATAATAATAATAATAATAATAATGAAAGATATGAATTAGGAAGAAAGTTTTTAAATTTAAATTTAAATTTAAATTTAAAAAAAAAAAAAAAATGCAATGAAGCGATTTAATTTTTGGCTTGTAAATATTTTATTTATTTATTTTTTTTTTATTTTGTCTGGTTTTATTTCTAAATCTTAAAATAAAATTTTTAAATAATAATAATAATAATAATAATCTATTTAATTTTACGGATGTCGAAACGAAAATTCGATCAAAATTAATAATAATAATAAAAAAATAAATAAATAAAAATTTTCAACGAATTTCAGTTGAGTAAAATTTCCGCCATATTGTTAAAATTTTGTTATTGTTATTCGAAAAAAAAAAAAAATCGATCGGACGAAATAATAATTACAAATGAAAAACGATTGATTAATTAATTAATTAATTAATTTGATAATTCTATTGCCACGTTTTTTTTTTTATATTAAATATTAAATTAATTTGGGTAAATTAGACGTTAGACGTTGGACTTAATTGTTTCGATTTGACCAAGTTGCTCGTCGACACAAAAAAAAAAAAAAAAACGTTTTTTCGGTTGAGCAGAAGAAAAAAAAATGGTAAATCGGAGAGGAAAAGGGGATTAATAAAAAAAATAATATAAAGAAGTTTTTCATTCGAAATGTTTTTTTATTTTTTTTAACTAATGACACGAGCATAATGAAATATGACAACTATGTTGACGGAAACGCTTTGTTAAAAAAAAAAATTTTCGGCGGTTATGCATGCTCTCTCTCTCTTTCTCGCTCTTTCTCCTTTTATTTTCTCTCTCTCTCATTCTCTCTCTCTCATTCTCTCTCTCTTTCTCTCCTTTTATTTTCTCTCTCTCCCTCTCTCTCTCTTTCTCTCTCTATAATTTTCTTATTAGAAATCTCGAACAAAGCGGTCATAACTAAAACTACTCGTAGCTCAAACATTAATTTCAAACATGCAATAAATTAATTTTAAAAGAGTCGTCTAGTTCCACGTCATTCGTGAATAATAATGAAAATTCGTAACGGATAAATTGAAAAGTAATTTTTTTTTTTAATATTTTGATTAAAAAGAAAAATTTTTAAATAAAGGAGGAAAAATCAAATTTTCTTAAATCGTGGAATTAAGAAAATTTTCCGACGAAGGTTAATTCGAGAGTGAGAGTGAGAGAGAGAGAGAAAGAGAGAGGGGGGGAGGCCTTTAAAAAAAAAGTAAAAGCTTGTGTGACCACCTCCGCCAATGAATTTTTTGTTCGGATAAAAATTTTCTTTCGCTTTCACCGTTAATGACCCGATACGCACGCACTTACGCACGCACTTACGCACGCACAAAAAAACGACCCACGTTTGTGCGTAGCAATCATCAAGTACTTTACATAAAATATAATTTAAAAAAAAAAAAAAAAAGTTCCGGATAAAAAGAAAACAACAATAATTTATTATTATTATTATTCATTCGAGGTATCGAAAATTTGGCAGGGCCTTAAGGATTTTCACGTATCATTAACGGAGTTTTGACTTTTTTTCGACGAGCCGAAAAAACTCTCTTTCCTTTCTCTCTCTCTCTCTCTCTCTTCATCTTTTTCCCTTTTTCTTCTTTTCCCATTTTTTTCTCTTTTTATTTATTTAAAATAATATTTGTTTAAACAAATAATATCCGCTGTGTGCTTTAAGCGACGACCCTCTTACAACAAATTAATGACAGTAATAAATTTTTTTTTCTTTAAAGGTTTTTATGTTTTACAAGAGAGAGAGAGAGAGAGAGAGAGATTTAGGTGAGGCTTAGGGAGAGGGGAAAAGAAATAGAGAAACAAAACATATAGGAAAAGAAAAAAAAGCTGGTTAGTTAGTAAATAAATAATTTAAAAAAAAGAAACCTAAGTTGATTTACGATCGAGCTGTAGTTTTTGTTTTTTTTTTTTCGATTTTTTTAGTTACGGATTTTTTGTTTCAAATGAAACTTTTTATTATTCTCCCGCAGGTGTCTAACATAATTTTTTCCTAATATTATTATTATTATTATCATTATGTATTTATTTATTTAATTTATTAAAATTAAAATAAATAAATTTTCATAACGTTAAGAATAATTATAACTACTAACTATTAACCACTACCGACGTTGAATATTAAAAAACAATACGTTTATTTACTCTATGGAACGATCTTGGGTAGATTAACGGAAAATATGCAATGAAAAAACGCGGCGTAACGATAAATATTTCCAAACGACATTTTTTTTTTTTTTTTTTTCATTCAAGAGTCGAGCAGTCTGGTAGATTTAAAAAAAAAAAAAAAAGAAATTATTTCTAGAACGTGAGATCTCGTAAAACATTAATTAATAAACGTACCGAAACAACCGATAACATCGTCCGCCATTTTGTATCGTGCGAATAACTTTTACCGGAAGTTTTATTATTAAATTACTCGTTCAATATACGTAATTATAATATCGGGTCGTGAGATGAAAAGAAAACGTGGAGACTACTAGTTAACCTGTCGTTTTTAACGGGAGGAACGGGGGGTGCGCGATGATGGGGGGATGATTTTTGTTTGATTGGAATCGAAGGGGTAATAATAATAATAATAATAATATTTTTGTTTGTTGTTGTTACAGAAACAAGCGTTCAACAATACGGAGAAGTTAATCAATTGGGTGGAGTTTTCGTGAACGGACGTCCACTCCCCAACACGGTACGAATGCGCATCGTGGAATTAGCACAATTAGGAATAAGACCGTGTGATATATCACGTCAGTTGAGAGTTTCACACGGATGCGTTAGTAAAATACTTGCGAGATTTCACGAAACGGGATCAATATTGCCGGGTGCCATAGGAGGAAGCAAACCGAGAGTCACGACTCCCAAAGTCGTGTCTTACATAAAAGGACTCAAACAAAAAGATCCCGGGATATTCGCATGGGAAATACGAGATCGACTCCTATCGGATGGTATCTGTGATAAATATAACGTCCCCTCGGTTAGTTCAATAAGTAGAATATTAAGGAATAAAATCGGAGCTTTGGTTCATCATCACCATCATCATCATCATTCTGGTCCGCCGCATCCGAGTCACTTGTACAATTCCCTGTATTCGTCGTACACGTACACGGGTGCGAGTGGCGGTCCACCGCCGAGTCATCATCAACCGTTAGGATCAACGAAATTACCATCGTCGCCGCCTCCTCCGCCAAGCAGTCACGCTCATTTTCCGAGAGCTCCACCTTCTCACTGCTGGCCGAGTTCTCATTCGGTGACGGACATATTGGCGGGAGCTCATCACGCGGCCGCGGCCGCTGCCGCCGCCGCCGGATTCAGAGCTCAAGCGGCTCAACATTCTCCGATACCCGCGACAACGAGTCAAATCCCTCCAACGGCAAATCCGACGTCTCCCCAAAATTATAATTATTACATGTATTTGCAAGGATGCTCACCACCGGGATCCATAGTCGGTTCGACGGTTCATCCATCATCGTCGTTATCTTTATCACATCATGGAATATCGGGGCAAACGACTTCTCTTTAGCGACACCGCGCCGGGGGACGATAAAAAACCGATGCAGTATTCAATTCCAACGAAAAACACGCGATTTCTGTATTATTATCATTATCATTACTATTATTATTATTATTAATACTTACCCATCGATAAAAAAAAATTTATTTATTTATTAATTTTTTTTTTTTTAATTAAATTAGAAACATTAATAAGTTTTTCGATTTACCGGTTGATATACCAATAAGAATTAAATAAATGTATTATATTTTATCGACTTATTATTATTATTATTATTATGTAAAATTAATAATGAAATTATTAACGCGAAAAATAAATAATAAAAAAAATTTATGTACATAAATTAAATAAATAAATAAATAAAAATGGGATTATTTGGGTTAATAAATAAGTAAAAAAAATTATTTTATTATTATTATTATTATTAAATAACTTTTTTTTCTTGTTGATTTGTTTGAAAATAATAGGAAATCGTTTTTGTTGTTTCCCCGCCCCCCTCTGCTGCCACGTCGCGATGATGATGATGATGATGATGATGATGATGATGATGTTTATGATGTTTGCAAAACAAATAAATTTTTTTGTTACTTTCGAATTAAAACAAATTGAGTTAGGTAATTATTATTGTTTCACGTCGTCTAGTTCCACGTCGTTTTGTTTTCTATTTGTTTTTACGTTCACTCATTTATTCCCCTCCTGTTTTCTTTTATCGTTTCCTTTAACTTCTCCTCCCTCCCCTTTTCCCCTCCTTTCTCGTTTCTTCCTCTCATTCATTTTTTTTTTTTATATTTTAATTAATTAATAATGATAATGATGATAATAATAATAATAATAGCATATTAATTATCTTTTCGTCCCATCTTGATCCCCTTGTTTTTTTTTTTTTTTTTGTTATTCTTGTCGTATTTCTATATCCTTTTCCATCCTTTTTCCTCATCTTTTTCTATTTTAGTATCGTCGTCTGATAATAAAAAAAAGATTTTACATATAATAAAAAACTATTAATACTAATTGTTACTAAATAACTTGGCAGTCGATTCGTAAAAAAAAATCCGGTCTGTATCTGAGTTAAAAATCTTTTTTTTTTTAGTTTTAAACTAATTTAATGACAAATTGAAATATTTTTTTTATTTTTTATCCTCCTACACGGTCGTAAAATAAAAGAAGAAGAAAACGTTTTAATAACTCGTTCGGGTTGTTTCCCATCGCCATTTTGTTTTTTACAATTTAATTTTTTATTGTAAATGTTATCATCGTCATTTTCATGCGAATGAATGATTTCAAGGAGAGATTCCTTCCTGTTGTTTGTAAATTCCAGGTCGATTTGAATTTTGTTCCAGGATGGCGAAAAAGGAGGAGGCTGGAGTTTTTAATTTTTAAAAATTTTTGTTCGGTTGTTTTGGAATTGTTACTATTGTTGTTGTTGTTGTTGTCTTTGTTGCTTCTGCTGTTATTGTTGTTGTTGTTGTTGTTAGTGTTGTTGTTGTCGTTGTTGCTTCTGCTGTTATTGTTGTTGTTGTTGTTGTTAGTGTTGTTGTTGTTATTGTTGTTGTTGTTGTTTCTCTTTTTAATTTTATAAAGATAAATGTACGGTATAAGATAAAGAGAGATGGATTATATCCTTCCAGTTAGGAGAATATTAAAACAGAAAAATTTCTCTCTCTCTCTCTCTTAAATAATTATGATAAGAAATATAAAAATTTGATAACGGGCGCTCTTTCTCTCTCTCTCTTATCGCTTTCGAAAAAAAAAAAAAATTTTTATATAAATATTTTTAAATAATTTTTTTCTTTTTCCCTTTCCAGGAGAATTTATTTTGGATACTTATTTAAAAGATGAAAACCAGGTAAGTGAACATAAAAATATTTGTTTTTTTTTTATTTTTAAATCCGGTTTATTTATTTAATTAGTTTTTTCGAGGGGGTAGGGGGTAGGGAGTAGAGTGGTAAACGTGGAATTTTTCTTTCGTTTTCAATAACCAAAAAAAAAAATTCGAAACCTTCGAATTCGTTTATATATATAAATTATTGTTTACCCTAATTTAAATGACTCGGGTTCGTAATAAATCTTTTCTCTCTCTCTCTTTCTTTTCTGTTTAAAAACACAAAAATTTTTATATTTAAAATAATTTTTTCATTTATAAAAAAAAAAAACAAATTTATTTTCGTTCGATTTTCCGATTATCATCATCATTATTTAACCGGAAATGACGAAAACATTTTTTTTTTTTGTTACCGGAAAATTTTAATAATAGTAATAAACGATTTTCTCGTATTGTTCCGTTTTTTAACGTGTGGCAGCGCTCGCGTCGTTTATTACCACCCTAAAGCTTTCAGATTTCCCCACGGGGAGCGCGGTAAACGAATATTAGGGGATGGGAAATAAAACGGAAATGGGAAATTATTTCGATATTGAAACGGAGAAGTATTTCCGGTTTTTCATTTATTTTCTCTCTCTTTCTCTCCGAATTCGTAGCCCTTTTTAAAATTAATTAAAAAATTTTTGGTTTCTTTTTTTTCCTTTGTTAAAATTAATTTTATTTTTAATTTAAAAAAAAAAAATGAATAATTTTTTTTTAAATCGGATTCGACTGAAATAAATTGTTCGTTTGATGTCGTCTCTCTCTCTCTCTCTCTGACAAGAAAAAAGAAGAAAAAACGATACTGACAATAAAGACATTTTTCGTACATGCGTGACTTGCGTTCAACCCAAGACGAATCACTCACTCATTCTCTCTCACTCACTCTCTTTCTCTTTCTCTCTCGTATGCGTGCGTGCGTGCGTGTGTGTATACGCAACACACACGTATATAAAACGCGTAAAAAGTTATTTAAAAAAATTTTTTTTTTTTTTTTTTTAATTATTTGTTTTGAATATGGAATCTAAGGTTTAGTCACGTTCACTTTGAAAAGATTCGTTATTTGTTAAAAACGATAATAATAATAATAATAATAATTATTATTATTATTATTATGTCATATCATCGTCGTATTTTTTCTTTTCCATCCGGTAATTTTTGTAAAAAAAAACAGACACCGTTATCATTTGTTTACTAAAAAATAAAAATAAATGATAAGGACAAGGTTAAAAAGCACAAATTACGACTTGTAATAATAATAATAATAATAATAATAATAATTTATTATTTGAATAAGAAAATAAAAAACGGAAACGGAAACGATGACGACGACGATGACGTTACATCGCGGAAACGAAAGGTAAAAGGCGGTGGGAATGGATGAAGGGAGGGAAAAGGGGGAAGGGGGAGGGCTAAAAAGAAAAAATAGATTTAATGAATAAAACTGCTGGAAAAGAAGGAGTAAAATAGTTTGAATGGAAAGTTTTTCTAAAAAAAAAATGGAGGAAGGAAGGAAGGAAGGAAGGAAGGAACTGTCAGTCAAATGATGAAAGTCGACGTGAGCATCGTCGTTTCGGTCCGACGCTCACAAATTTCCTGCTTTTTGAGTTAGAACAGCCCCCTTTTTATGTTTTTTTTTTTTTTTCAAAGCTTGTGGAAAATCATTTTGGAGGGGAGGGGGGTTATTTTTTTTTTCCATGTTTATTTTGGCATGCATCAATTAACGAAAAACTAATTTGTTTTGTCAAAATATTCTCTCTCTCGCGTAGGGTTATTTAATTTCGATAAAGAAAAAAAAAAAAATTTCCAACGGTTTTTAACGGTTTTTTTTTCAAACGTGCGACAAAAGTCGGTTTGACGACCAAAAAACGGAAAAATTAATATTTCGAAATTTATTTTCCTTCCTCGATGGGTAAAAGTAAGGGTAGGTAGGAAGGAGTAAGTTTCTGAAAGTGTTTGCGATCACGTGACACAAAGCGGAAACGGAAGGACGGACGTAAAAAAAAAATGGCCGTCGTCGTCATCGTCATCCTCGTCGTCAAAACCGATTTTTCGTCGTCGAACGGAATTTAAACAAAAAAAAATTTAAATTAATTTTAATGAAAAAAAACAAAACAAAAAAATTTTTGTCTTCTGCTAATTAAAACAATAAATTTTACGCGGTTTTTTTTTTGTATTCTGTTCTTTTTCTAAATTTTGAACGGTAATTTAAATTCTTTACGATTAAACCGAATCGAAATTTATTATCATCATCATCATCATTATTATCATTATTATCATTATTTCGTATATACGAAATCCGTTCGGAATCGATTTAATTAAAGAGAGAAAAAAAATTCTTTTTTCCCAAAGGCGTTCGTTTATTTCATCATTTAAGATTTATTGTGTAACGTATTTTAAAAAAAAAAAAAAAACGAAAGCCGTTAAAAAAAAATATAAGAAAAATTTAAATTTTCTTCTGCTTTAAAAAAAAAAAAAAATCATCATTAGGAGTTTATTAATAAATAGCAGACGACGCGCATTTTTTTTTTTTTAATGAAAATTTTTTTGCGTTTGGGAAAATATAAATTAACGATCGATCGATTTAATTAATCGATTGTTTGTTTGTTTGTTTGATTGTTTCGTAATTAAAATTTTTTTTTTATTTTTAAATTTTATTCATTAGCAATTACGTAAACGCGTTAAATAATAATAATAATAATTAATTTAATTAAAAATAATTTTTACTCGATTTAAAAAAAAAAAAGAAAAAAGGAAAATGGCGATTTTAAAAAGAAAAATATTTTGAAAAAAATGTCCGGTGTGAGAATTTAAATTATTATTATTATTATTATTATTATTATTATTATTATTTCGAAAATTTTTTTTGTTTTTACGTTTTTAGCGAATTAAAAAATTTGTCGATTAATACAAAAACGTGGGATTGGTCGATTAAAAAAGGTAAAATCATAAAATTAAACGGCCGCGAGTCTCCGCCCTATTACTAATTCCACGATAATTTCTTTCCGTTTTGTTTTTTCTTACTCTATGAAAAATTTTTTGCTGTTTTCGTTTAATATTATTATTATTATTGATTACGTTTATATTAAAAAAAAAAAATATCATATAATAAATAATTATTATATCGAAACGTTTTTTCGTTTTGACGTTC